GACAATAAAATTTTGAAATTTAGTTACTTTTGCCATTCGTGTCTGGTTTTGAGAAGAAATTGTATCTATTATTAAAGTATTCTCGTGAAAGGTGTGTCTCGTGTGTGGTTGGGAATAAAAAAATATATTCTTGTAGTTCTTCTAGTGGTACAATTCAGGAAAAAATTCTCCTCTCTAGTCATTTATTCCGAACATTGTGAAATTGGTTTTTTTTTTGTATTTTTAAAAAAACAAGTTGTAGAATTATGAATTTGTGTTGTTCATGGATATAAAACACTGTTTTGGATTAATAATTGGCTCATGAATTTCTCGTAAGTAGTTTTGTGAAATATTTTGCGAAAAAAAAACGAAGAAACTAGGAATTTAATAAGAAAAAAAGAAATAAAAATTAGGTACAAATTATTTTCGGATCCAATCGTAAATTTTTAAGTTTAAAACGTTCAGTTTTGAAAGATTTTTAAAATTTTAACTGTTTCGAATTTTTAAAACTTTCCTGAAGTTTTTAAACGTCACTAAATTTAGCGTCGACGCTGAAAGTCGAAAAAACTAAAATGAAAAGGAAACCTTTTTTTTAACTTTTAGGTTCAAAAAAAGTGCCGTGAAATTATTTTTAACTTTCGTGGTGAATGAAAGAAGAGTGAAGTTAGTGACATTTGTGAAAACCCCAAATAGTGTCGACGCTAACTTCAGGGTCGTAAAATTTCAATTTGTTGAAAATATTTAAAATTTTAGCTGGTAAATTTATTTATCAAAAACTGTTTGAATTTTAACATGAAAAAATTATTTCGGTTGTTTGAAAATGATTAGCTCTAATAGAAATGCTTCATTCTCAAGGCTAACTTCACAGTTAACTTAATATTTATCCGTTGGGTAAAAATTATTTTCAAATTCAATAAAAACTTGACTTTTAAGTGCTGATTTGTTTGGATTATTTCGAAAATAGGGAATTTTTTCCTAAATTTCAAGTAAATTTTGAAATTAATTAAGGACCCTGAATTTAGCGTCGACTGAGTGTCGAAAAACTTTTTTTCTCTCAAAAAGTGAAAAGAAGAAAACAGTTTAAAGTTTTTTAGGTTCAAAATGTGCACTGAACTTATTTTTAACTTTCTTTTATAAAAGAAGTGAAATTATTTGCAAGTTAGTCGAGACGCTAGTTTTTCCCATTTTTAGGTTTTTTCCTTCAAAAAAAAGTAAAAAGACTAAAACAATTTGAAGTATTTAGGCTCAAAAAGTGCGCTGAACTTATTTTGAACTTTTTTTTAATAAAACAAGTGAAATTAGTTTAGAATTTTACCCTAAATTAGCGTCAACGCTATTTTTCGCATTTTAAGGTTTCTTTTTCTCAAAAAGAAGTGAAAAGAGGTGAATGAAAGAAGTGAAATTAGTAATATTGACATTTGTAAAAACCTTGAGCAATAATTTTTGACGCTAAATCGTCGACGCTAACTTCATGGCCATAGTAATTACAAAAATACTCTCTAAATCCGAATTATCGAAATTTCACGGATTTCCAGAGATAATTTCAAAAATGTCAATTCTACTGAAGAGTCAGTGAAAATTCACTAATTTCCAGCGTGTAAACGTTAATTAGTGCTTTACTTATCGCTTTTTTAAAGATTTATAGATACATAATTACAATTTTTACTAAATTTAATTTAACTTTTAAGTAATAAGTGAACTCGGTAAATTTGAATTAATTAATTAGTAATTAGTAATTAGTAATTAGTAATGTTCACTAAATCCGCACTATTTCATTAATAAACCACTAATTCAGATTTAGACAGTACAAATTGTAACAGGCCTGAATTGTAATAAAAATTGAATTTCAAGAAGAAATAAATAAATTCCGTTCAGAACTTTAGGATCATTGATATAGTTAAGTAATCGGATTGAGTCAAATAAATTTTTTTCCACTGTAAATTAATACTATATTTAAATTTAAAAAAGAAAGATTGAAAAACACTTGCATTGACATGCACACAGACTGCTTTCGAAGGACGAGAGACAAACCGACAGTCAATAAAGACAGACAAGAGATTCATTCGTGCAGAGATTGCACCGTTATGAAGAAAAAAAAGAAAAGAAAGAAAGAAATAAGGTTTATGAACGGATGTTCTGTTCATTGTTTTATAAAGCACAAGACGATAAATAACAGTGAGCATTATGATAAATCCGTTGATTATATCAACGTGGGTTGACGTAATTAAATTCAGAGATCAATGCATTACGTAAAATGATGTCGAGATTTGGGTGTGCATAATACTATTTTCAGAAACAGAGTGGGCGTTTTGTTGGTTCGTCTGTGCAACCGTCTCACTCTCATCGTCTTCGTCGTCTTCGTTGTCGAAGACGAAGACCAAGACGACGACGATCACGATGCCGTCTCGATCGTGAGATTCAAGTAATGCTTTTAAAACCCAACGGTTCATCCAATGGAGTAGGCGCCCAGGAGTCCGATGAGCGCCCACGCGTAGACGCCAGTCTAGTTTGATCGTGATTCTCCTCGTTTAACTTTAGGAATTTCACATTCTAATTCAGTTATAGTTACTTTTTTTCTTTGCTTTTATTCTCCCGAGGGAGTCGAAGAAATGCTTCCTCCATCAGAAGTATTTCTTCTGCTGCGAAACTAGATTCAAAACATGTTTTGGTTTTGGTCCAGGCTCTTCGATTTTTGATCCAGGTTTGTCGATTTTGATTTAGCTTCTTCAATTTTTATGCAGGTCTTCGATTTTGATTCAGGTTCTTCAAGTTTGGCCATTTTGACTTAGGTTCTTCGATTTTGATTAAGCTTTTCGATTTTGATCCAGGTTTTCGATTCGATTAGCCAAAAACGCAGTTGTGTCCACCATCAGCAACAACTTCCCATCCAGAAAAATTAAGAAGCTCCGATGCAGCACTCCTTAAGGCCCCACTCTCCAATTAAACAAATTTCATATCTTGCATAATTAGATAATATCTAAATCGAGACCAACTTCACAGAGAGGGCATTTAACAGCATGTGGGGTCTTGAGCGTCTCCACTAAACAGGTTCACTATCATCGTCCATCAGGACAAGCTTTCTACTTTAAGTTCCCTGCATTCCCGACATGTGTGCAGATATATAATTCTTATTAATATATTCTCGAATTGAAAACCGAGAGTTGAAAATTTCGATGTGATCTCTGTGTGAAAGAACATTTTTATCGCAAGGTGCTTCATCGGCTAGTCGACGAGAAGAAGGAGAAAAGGCAAAAAAAAAACCTGACGTGGCTTCTTGGGAATTGTAGGTTACCTGTTGTCGGGATTCTTCTCTTTTTTTTGACAATGAAACGAGATCAAACGAACCTCCCAAGTATAACCATCTGTCCAATATAAGTTGGCTTGCGTGCATCTGCTTCAATTCTTGAAAAAAAGAATCTCATTCAGAATTCGAACTGACTTTACCTGAAAGTTCGCCTCTCCGAGACATTCTTTTGTCGAATATTATCCGCGCCCGTCCCCTCTCTCTCTCTCTCTCTCTCTCTCTCTCTCTCTCTTTCTCTCTCTACGATTGTATAAGATTCTTTCGACGAGATATACGTGCAGGCATGTCCTGCGATTCTTACTTCTTTACAAAGAGAGAAGAACGAGTAACGAAGAGAGAGAGAGAGAGCCAGGTCATCTCTGTCGCGCGATCACTCTTGGAATCTGCTTTGCCTCCATTTGTATAATGTTTTGAACGCCGGATGCATTCACACTCGGAGAGAACAGCGATACTTGTTATTTATTCCGTTTCCTATAATCTGATTCTTGGTGCTTTCTAAATCTGCTTTTGGGATCGGGTTCTTTACGCTGGTTACGATTTTTACTCTGCTTGTGATTTTCACACTGGTTAGGATTCTTAAACTGGTCGCACATTTGATTCTTATTGCAATTTTTTACTCTGGTTACAATTTTCACACTGATTACAATTTTTACATTGGTGACAATTTTAACAACTTCTTTACTTGTTCGAATGCTTCTAATTAGAGTATTTCTTTTTTGAATGTTCGGTAAGGTTTCACTTTGGACGGTTCTTTACTTTCCTTTACAATAGACACTTATTTAAAAAACTTACTTTAACTTTACCCCTTAACTGCCATGACAAAGATTTTGGCCGTCAAATTTTTGCACATTTTACAGTGAATATATGATAACTAGCCGTAAATTAATTAAATTATTGGCTATTTCAGTGAAGTAAATGCATTATGATCCTCCTCAACATTTAATACCCATCAGGATCTTCCTAAACATATAATGCCCATCAGGATCCTCATAGACATTTAATGCCCATCATGCACCTCAACAATTAATGTCCATTATGATAGGTATTAAATGTTTATAAGGATCATAATGTCTACTAAATGTTGAGAATCATGATGAGCATTAAATGTTTAGGAGGATCATGATGGGCTACTCCTCCTAAACATTTAATACCTATCATGATCCTCCTAAACGTTTAATGCCCATTATGAACCTCAACAATTAATGTCTATTATGATGTCCATTAAATGTTGAGGAGAATCATGATGAGCATTAAATGTTTAGGTGGATCATGATGGGCTGCTCCTCCTAAACATTTAATGCCTCTCATGATCCTCCTCAACATTTAATACACTGTTAAAAATCTGACCCCAAAAGATTTAAATGATGTTATTTCAATCTAGCAATGGTGAATTCTTGCATTTCATTGGTTCAAAGTTTTCAGTGAATCTAAAATGAAAGTATTCACAGTGTACCTATCATGATATCGATAAACATTTAATGACTATCATGATAGACAATAATTGTAGTGGAGGGCATTAAATGTTTAGGAGGATCATGATGAACTAATGTTCATCAGTATGAGTAAATGCAGTAAATGTTGAGTAGGCTCACGACGGGCTAACGCCCATCATGATCCTCCGCAACAATTACAGCATTTACAACCGATTTATCATTACAAATCATCTTTAATGTTTCATGAACATTATCTAAATGAATTTTCGTTTCGTTTGTTTTAGGTGGGGATGAAGCGCGCGTCGCGAGGGCGGGAGGAAGCGGTCGCGGAGCACCCTGCTGTACCCTCGCTAATGGAACGCCGTCGCCAAGAACGTTACCTCCTCGCGCGGGCTGGGCAGTGCGTACGACAAATCCAAGCCACACAACGCCATTTCTGCCAGCAGCAGCATCATCATCAACAACGACATCAGCATCTGCAGCAGAGGCTGCAACACAATGGGGTAGCGAACGAGCATTGTGTTCGCCGCTCTCATCAAAGAGATTACCAATTCCGAGTCCAACGACAGCAAGGTCAGACACATCCGCCACGAACGCGAACGTCAGGCAGCACAACGACAACAGTCTCCTTACGAAGCGTACCTTAGCTTCTCCCGGTACAACCACAAGAAGCTACCGTACCGACTGTACGGTCCCCATGTCGCGGACTGCAGCATCGCCGCCATCGCGGCCGCCGTCCTCCGCCTCAACCAACAGCAGTCTGGCCCGCGTACACGGCCACGATCACACCCGACCACTTCCGCCTCCCCGACTGCCGGACACCACGGCCCTGCCGAACTTCACACCTCTAACCATACCCCTCGCGCCACTCTCGTCCTCCAACAGCTTCAGAAGCAGAACGCCCGTCACGAGTGTCACGACGAGTTCGTCGCGAGTCCCAAATGGCGACGCCACCATCGACACGGGCACCAGCACCACGAGAAATCGCTCCTCGAACGAGTCACCCAGGAGTGCGGTGGGCGAGGTGACGCTCACGGTGCCGCGGCCCGACGGCGACCGCATTGCCAACGAGTACGTCGAGACGCCCTTCAGACCGATCCTCCTGCAGACGCAGGGCCGGACGTTGGCCGACGCCCAGAAGTGTCCGAAGACAGAGAGGCGGCTGCAGCAGCAGCAGCAGAAGGCCGCGCAGTACCACAACAGTCAGCGGCACCGGCGGCAGAACCACCTCCTCCAATCAGCGGCGCCGGTTGGGAACAACGCAATCACCAAACAACCAGTGTCCTTCACCAAGGAGCCGGCCAACGCCCTCGGCTCGCCCAACTCCCGCAGCACCGACTCCACCGGACTCTCCATCATGTGCGACTTCTGCGGACGCTGTCGCTGCGAGTCCTGCCGGGAGCCTCCACCTCTGCCCAGCCGCTGGCTCTGCGACAACTCGTGCTTCTGCTCGGCGGAAACTGTGCTGGACTATGCCTCATGTTTGTGCTGTGTTAAGGGTTTGTTCTATCATTGTGCCGACAGTGGGAGTGGCGTCGAGTCGGAGAACGGAAATTGTGCCGACGAGCCGTGCTCGTGCACTGGCTCCAGGAAAACGGCCCGATGGGCCTGCCTCGGAGCACTCACTCTAGTGCTGCCCTGTCTACTGTGTTACTGGCCCTTCAAGGGCTGCGTGGCGGTGTGCGAGGCCTGCTACGCCAGGCACAAGGCTCAAGGCTGTAGGTGTGAACCGACGACGCTGGGGAGGCATCATCCCGGCGTTGGTGTATTGAGAGACTCAAGGGACCCTGAGAAACGACTTCTCGATCCCGTAACGCCCGAGCTGTGAATTCTGTCAAAAGTGAGTGGTTGTTTTTTTTTCTTTTTTTTTTTTGTTCCAAGGATTCTGTGAAAATTCGCGAGTGACCAAGACTTTGTCTCGAGTGTTTTTTGAAAATGAACTTTAGAAACGAATTTTTTAAATGAAAGTCGGTGGGACAGTGTATTGAAAGGAGGTTAATTGTCGGAGAGCAGTGTTTTGAATGGAAGTTATTTGTCGGTGGGACAGTGTTTTGAAAGGAAGCAATTTGTCGGAGAGTTGTATTCCGAAATGTAGCAATTCCTCGGAGAGCAGTGTTCTGAAAAGAAGTAATTCGTCGGGTAGCAGAATTCTGAAATGAAGTAATTCTTCGGAGAGCAATGTTCGAAAAGAAGTCAATTTCTCGGAGAGCAGTGTTCTAAGTGGAAGCAATCCCTGGGATAGCATTTGTAAGACATGGGGTCAAGTCGTCGGAGAGCAGTGTTCAGAAAGAAAGTAATTCCTCGGACAGCAGTGTTCTAAAAGGGAGCAATTCCTCGGAGAGCATTGTTCTAAAAGGAAATAATTTCTTGGAGAGCAGTATTTTAAAAGGAATTAATTTCTCGGAGAGCATTGTTCGAAAAGGAAGTAATCCTTGGGATAGCAGTTGTCAGAAATGGGTCAAGTCGTCGGAGAGCAGTGTTCAGAAAGGTAGTAATTCTTCGGAGAGCAGTGTTCTAAATGAAGCAATTTCTCGGACAGCAGTGTTCTATAAAGGAATTGATTTCTCGGAGAGCAGCGTTCTACAAGAAATCAATTTTCTCGGAGAGCAGTGTTCGAACAGGAAGTAATCCCTCGGAGAGCAGTGTACCAAAAGGAAGTAATCCCTCGGAGAGCATTGTTCTAAAATGTATCAAATTTCTCGGAGAGCAGTGTTTTAAAAGGAATTAAATTTCTCGGAGAGCAGTGTTCGAAAAGGTAGTAATCTCTCGGAGAGAGGTGTTCAGAAAGGAAGCAATCCCTCGGAGAGCAGTGTTCAGAATGGAAAGCAATTTCTCGGAGAGCAGTGTTCGGAAAGCAAACTGTTTTTGGCAGTTAGTACAAGAGTTGTTGCTGTTGTTGCATTTAACACGAAACAAAAAAAAATATGATCCGATAGACTTTTTTTTTTTGATGTTTAAAAAACACGAATGTAATGTTGAAATATTTATTATTCTCAGCAGGCGTAAAAAACAAAAATAGTACAGGGAGAAACACACCAGGAATACGCGCGATTCGTATGCGATGTGCCCCCAACCCATCCCCCCCCCCTCGTATACTCTCTCTAACGACAAAAACGTTTACACGCATAGATAGTCTATATTTTATAAATATTATAAATATTATATATGAAAGAAGCAGAACTAAAATTATATATTGTATATTACATTTGTATAAAGAACAAAAAAACTTTTCTACAGTTAATTTATTCGAGTGCGTATCGCGAGTATAATCACATGGCAATGGAGAGAGAAAGAAAGAAAGAGAGAAAAAGAGAGAGAGAAAATAAAGTAACACTCTTGTTGTTAAATCTCAAGAGTTTTGGCGAGATTACTTGGAGTCTTGAATTTTTTTATAAAGATCATTGTGGTACGGGGGAGGAAAAAGTTGATTTTTTTACCTTCTTTGAGGTGCGTGAATTTAGCGTCAAAAACTATTTTTTTGGTTTTAAGAAAAAATTATTTTTTGTGTTTATACTTTTTTCTTTTCTCTTTAATTTTTTTAATTTTTACGTTCTATTTTTTAACATTTTGGAAACTTTTTAACTACCAATTTTTAACATTTTTAATTATTTTTAAAAAATTTTTTTAGCTTTTACTTCTTTTTAACATTTGTTTTTATATTTTTAACTTTTACGTCTTTTTAAACATTTTACTTACTTTTGCACTCTATTTTTATTAAAAATAAGTGAGAAGGTAAATTTTTACCTTATGAAAATAGTTGACAAACTAATTGAAATTCAATTCAAAATTAAAAAAAGAATTGAAATTTTATTGGATTAAATTCAATTATTATTGATTAATTGAAGCAAAAAATAATTTAAATTCAATTCCAAATATAAATAAATTGAAGTTTTTATCATTTAAAATTGGAATAAATTCAATTTTATAATTGAACAAAAAATTAATTGAAATTCAATTTAGAATTTATTAAATTGAAAAATAATTAAAATCAAAATGAATTAAAATTTAATTCAATTAATGTTTAAATAATTTCAATTCTTAAAAATTGTACGTAAAAAATAATGGAAATTCAATTAAAAATCAAAATGAATTGAATTTTTATCGATTCAAAATTGAAATAAATTCAATTTTGAATAAATTGATCAAAAACAAAAATTTTTAATTTAATTCAAAATTAAAATGAATTGAACTTTTCGTTCAGTAAAATTTGAATAAAGTTAATTTTTAATTAACTGAATGGACTAATAGTGAAAATCAAAATTAATTGAAATCTTAATCAATTGAAATTTGAATAAATTCAATTTATTGTTGATTAATTGAAGCAGAAAATAATTATAATTCGATTCAAAATTAAAATTAATTGAATTTTTAATCACCTAAAATTGGAGTAAATTCAATTTTAGATTAATTGAACCAAAAATAATTGAAATTCAATTCAAATTGAAAGTTAATTGATTTTTTTAATCATTGAATTTTGAGGAAGAAGTAGATTTTTTTTTCCTTCCGCAGTAAGAGAATTTTTTTTTTTTTTTTGCTTCCGATGTAAGAAAATATTTTTCGACGCTAATTTCACGAGGCCTTTTTATTTAGTCTGTTACCCCACTCTACTCTAGAAGAGCAAAGTGTACGGTACCAGCTTTGACAGAAGCTGTATTGCAACCGAAACTAATCATCTCGTTTTTTATGAAATCCGCAAGAGAGCAAAAAAAAAAAAAAAAAAGATTTGATAAAAAACGAGCTAGGTCAAGTTGCTCGGCCCCCTTTCTTTTTCGTTCACAAACTTATTCCAAGTATCTCATTCACTCGGGAATGTGTGTGCGTGTTTAGAGGGTAAATGCAAAAGAAGCGTGTGTGTAAAAAATGAAAGAGAGAGAAAGAATAAACAGAGAGGATCTGAGGGAAGGAAATGACGGTCGTGTTGACTCTATTAATTTTTTTCCAGTATTATCTAGTCTTGCGAACGTTTTGTCAACGTGAAACTGAAAATAGGCTTCTATCGACCAAACGCGAGTGCAGAAAGGACGAAAAAAAAATAAAAAAAAAGGAAGAATATTTTCGTCGAGCCTTTCTCGCAAGTCGGGGTCAAATATATATTTGTATTGCGCGAAGCTGTGAATGTTGTGCGCAAGATTCTGACTTGTAAATGCAAAGCCAATGTGCCGAGCATATATATAAATATATAAATATATATATATTTTTTTTTGTAATAAATTATCATACGTATTTAAAAAAATGAAAAAAAGAAAACGAATATGTAATTCTAATTTAATAAATTATTCTCCGTAGGTCTCTCACGCTTTGGACTAAAAAGAATAAAAAAAAAAAAATTCGGACTGAAGGGACTCAAGCTTTAGAAAGTGTATATGTGTGAATGTGGATGATGCGATCGTTGCGCCACCCCGTTGCGAGAAAAGCCCCACCTGAGCGACAAAAAAAAAAGAAAAAAAAAGTGCACTAATTATTTCTCGTTTCGAATTGTCGAAATTTTTCTCTTTGCAAAATATTTACTGTATATCCTCAGAAATTATAAACAAAAAAAATTTCTCTTTCTAACAATAGTCAAGCGTCGATAGTGAATTGATGAGCTTGAAAAATTAGGTGGAGCAGCGCATAACAACAAAAACAAAATACAAACTACTATACTCTGTATGCGGACATGTTGATGTATAAAAATAAAAACTAGTTAGGTAGAGTCCAAAAACTTGAACGGCGAGATTTTCAATCGCTACGATTGTTTTTTGTGTCTACAAATGTTCCTCTTTTCAATAAACAAAATTTAAATAGAAATAAAATTTATATTATTATTATTAATAATATTAATAATAATAATAATTCAATATATATATTCAATAATATATAATAATTCAATTCCAAAATTAATTGAATTATTCAATTGAAAATTGAATAATTAGAATTCAATTCAAAATTAAAAAGAATTGAAATTTTAATCAATTCAAATGTTTAAAATTCAATTTTAAATTACTTAAAATAATAAAAAATAAATTCAAATTTAAAATTTAATCAATTAAAATTGAATAAATTCATTTGTCAATTAATTACAGTAAAAAATAATTACAATTCAATTCAAAATTAAAATGAATTGAATTTTTGATTATTTAAAACTAGAATAAATTCAATTTTCCATAAATTGAACAAAAAATAATTTAAATTCAATTAATAATTCAAGGAATTGAAATTTCTATTAATTAAATTTTGAATAAATTCAATTTTCAATTAATTGAAGTAAAAACTAATTGAAATTCAATTTAAAATTGAAAAAGAATTGAAATTTAATCGATTAAAATTGAAATAAATTCAATTCTGGATTAACTGAACTAAAAAAATAATTGAAATTTAATTTAAAATTTAAATGAATTGAATTTTTTATTCATTAAATTTTGAATAATTTCAATTTTGAATAAATTTAATTTTAAATAAATTAATTTAATTAAATTCAAAATAATAGAAATCAAAATAAATTGAAGTTTGGAAATAATATCAAGAGACAAAAATAACAATTTTTTCCCTTCGAAGTTTTCTGTGAGCAAAAAAATTAAGCAAAAAAAGAAAAATAAATTGAGCAATAAAAAGTAGAGAAAAGGAATATTTGTTGAGACTAACAATTTTTACAAAGCGAATCATTGACAGGCCAACGAGATTTCTGTTAAACAGAGAAAAGAAAAAAAAGAGGCTCGCCGAAAGAAATGAACCTTCTATTTAGCTTTTAAGTCCTACACGCTCTGTATATGTCTTGTAAATATATACTTGAAAAAAGTCGACTAAACGAAATTGTCATTCACATACCAATTTCTTAGCTTAAGTCCATAATAACATTTTAAGTCTGCGAATGCCAAGAATAAAACAAAAAACAAAAAATATAGCATATGAAACAAATTATTGTAGCAAAGAAATTCTCTCCTTTCTTTTATTTTTCAAATTTTTAGTTTTAGTCAATGTTTAATAGACAAAAAATCGTATTTTTTACATAAATAAAAATAATTTATACTATTTATTTAATATTTACACTATCGTTCATTTTTTTCTCTTTTCAAATTACTTTTACTACAATATTTAATAATTTAATTTATTTTCCAAGTATTTTAAAATTATCTTTTGGTTTTGAATTTATATTTATGGGATATATTTATGGAAATTTTATTTTCTATATTATAATTTAAGTTTATAATTTTTATTACTACTTTTAAAAAGTAAGTATAAAAGTAAGTATAATATTATTATTTTATAAATATTTTTGTTTTATTTTATTAGGTACTATTTTTAAATTTTTTGCTTTTTTATTAGTTTTTTATACTTTTTTATATTACTACAATTTTATATACTTTCTTTTATTATTATTATCATTTTACTTATATTTAATTTTACTATTTTATTTTACTTGTTTAATTTTATTATTTTATTTTACTTACTTAATTTTACTATTTTCCTTACTGATTTAATTTTACTTTCCAACTCCTGGAAAGGAGATTGTTTTTATTACAACTATTAAAAAAAAATTGTTTTAAACTATAAAAAAAATTGTTGATAAATAATAATATTTATCAACAATTTTTTTTTATTTTTATCCTTATATTATTTATTGAGAAAAAAACTAAAATGTCTAAAAATGATTTAGAAAAAAGGATTTAACTTAAATTTTGTTCGTTGGTTGTTTTGCCTTGAGCGATTGTAAAATTGATGGAGGCAAGTGAATGGAGCTGGTTAGTTTTCGGCGAGGAATAATCTTCATTGAAATCTAGGAATCTGACCATGCTGGCTTTTGAGTCTGTCTTGAATCCCGTAGAACGAGGAGCATGAGAGCGGACGTGACGTGGCTCTTCAGTTATATATCGTGGCTGGCAGGGTCCCTTTTATATACACACTCCGATCCAACATGTATACGTGTATCCTCTTGCAGAAAAGGCCTCAACAAGAAAGAACGAGATAATCGAACGCAGAGAAAAAGAAATCTTCATGGCAGGAATTGAATGCCAAGAAACGTACTTGGGTGTCAATTATTTCACTTTTTAAATATCACAAAATTTTAAAAGAGAAAAAAATTTAGCAAACTTAATGACTATTTAATAATTAAAATTCAATTCAAAATTAAGAATTGAAATTTCCATTCATTAAATTTTGAATAAATTAAATTTTCTATTAATTAAAACAAAAAATAATTGAAATTCAATTCAAAATTATAAAGAATTGAAATTTTAAAAACTCAATTCTGGATTGTTTCAAATAAAAAAATTAAAATTCAATACAAAATTAAAATGAATTGAATTTTTAATTATATTTAAAACTAGAATAAATTCAATTTTCCATTAATTGTAAAAAAAAGAATTCAATTCATAATTAAATGAATTGTGATTTTAATTCTTGAAAATTTTAATAAATTAAATTTTCAATTGCTTGAAGTAAAAAATAATTGAAATTCAATTAAAACTTAAAAGTAATTGCTAATGTTTATCATTAACATTTGAATAGATCCAATTTTAAATTGATTGAAGTAAAAAATAATTGAAATTCAATTCAAAATTAGAAAGAATTAAAATTGGATTAAATTCAATTAAAAATTAAAATGAA